TTAATATTTTCTCTACTTAGAAGGTGGAATTATTATTATATTTTAAAAAAAATTATAACTAATAATATTAAATATTATATTAAATAAATATATTAAATATATTTATGTATTTAAAAGTTAAAAAAAATTATTTAGGTGTACATACATTGACAAATTATATAAATGCAATAACATTAAATTATTAGAAATAAAAACATTCATTTAAAAACTTTAATTACATAAGAGTTAACGGTTATATGATGATAACAGAGCTGGACATTTTTTTCTATTGTGCCCGATGTTTCTACAATGCCCACATCGTTTTTGTTCTGTTGACTTCTCCCGAATATCCATATCACAATGTATTCTAGTAGATTTTGGACGACCTGAGTCCCTCAATAGCAATGGATCTGGGACAATTGTAAGCCAAGTTTGAATCTCATTTGGGTCTCTTTCGTTTCCTATGGGCGGAAACTCAAATTCATATACCTTGAAAACTTGTGAAAGTTGGTATACGGGATCAACATAATTTTTGTAGTCCAAATGCGAATGTGAGCAAGCAACAATGACATGAGAGCATGGATATTTGAGTGCTTGAAAGAAACCACAATCGCACCACCTCTCTTGCAGATTAACTCTGAAAGAGTTAGCTTCAATCCCTTGCAGCGGACGTGGCATTTCGGTTACACGAAACAATTCACGGGTGCGAGAAAAATTTGTAACTAACATCCCATTTGATGTAGCCATTTTTTCTGTAAATCGGCTACTAGTCTTGGGTGGTAAATATGTCCGTTTTGCATCCAAGTAAGAGCTTGTCCACCGAGTTTTGCAAAGAGTTGACCCAAACGAAAATAAGTCGTTTTGACCAACGCCGTGACTGGTAAATGACGCGCCCCCTTTAAGGTTGAATTTATTGCTTCAGCCAAGTTTGTTGTCATATGACCATAGCGATACCCCCCGTCATATGCATTTGTCCACATTTCTTTGCTGATGTCCATAATGTACTCGCACCCCTTCTTATTTTTGCCAAACAGCTCTTGTAGCATCGACTCAAACCTTTGAGGTAAGAGTTCGTAACCTAAGCCATTAGGAATATGTAATAGTTAATATGAAGTATAAATAAGTAATAAGAAATTGATAGAAAAATTGGGAAAAAGTAACATACCCATCCGCACGACTAACTGACGTTCATCGTTCTTCTTGTATTTTCCGTAATAGTTTGCAGCAATATGACGGACACAATAACGATGTTGAACATGTGGAGGTCTATACATTGTACCCAAAGAGTCCATTGCTGCTTTTATCCCGGCTCCTCGGTCTGAAATAATGCATACTCGTTCCCTGGTGACAACATGTAAACGTAAATTTTTAAGGAAAAAAGCCCAAGACTCAGTGTCTTCTCCTTGAACGAGGGCAAACGCAACAGGAAGAATATTGCGGTTTCCATCTTGGACCACAGCCAATAATAAAACTTGCTTGTATTTCCCATACAAGAAAGTACCATCAATTTGGACAATTGGTTTACAGTACTTGACTGCATTAATACACTGAGGGTAAGTCCAAAAGACTCGGTAAAATTGGCAGCGATCGCGAACCATTCGATCATTCACGTAATGATGTTGAGTTTCGAACTCAACAATTGTCCCGGGATTAAGTCTTTGCACAACATGAAACCAACTGGGCAGCTCGTTGTAAGAGGAATCCCATTCGCCATGAAGTTTGCAAATGGCATTCTGTTTTGCCAACCACGCTTTTTTATATGAGACAGTGTACCCATATTGGGACTGTATAGCAGAAATCAACACTGCAACAGCTATATGAGAGCTTTGCTTCACAATGGGCATGATTGCTTGACAAATAATGTTGGAGTCCAAGTTGGGATGATCCTGGTTTATACCTGTTGCACAACATGTATGAGGACCGTTGTATCTGGTTAGTTCCCATAAGTTGTTCTTCCTCTTCCTCTTTGATACACGGACCATCCATTGACATCCGTTGTGACGTTGGACGCAGTAGCAGACATATTTCTCCGTGTTAGATCGATCAACTCGGGACTGAACTGAGTTACGAATATTGTAACTCTTTATTGCCATCATTGCTTCCTCCTTCGATGCGAACTCCATTCCAATATGTAAATTACCGTCATTGACTGATGATTGAAGTCCATAGTTGCCAACATCAGGAAGATCTGGAAATTCAGGCTCATACATTGCATCATAATCAGCCTCATACATATGTGCAGGAAGTTCGGCTGGTGTTGTATTTATCGGAACGTCATCCTCGTCATCATCAGAATGTACGTTAAACTGTGGTGAGTCAGGTTCAACGAATAATCCCGTTTCAGCACCATCTGCACCTGGCTCCCGAAGAGGTTCTTCTGGTGGAGATGAGGGTTCCTCCGATAATCCAATGTTGAGGTCAAATAAGTTCCCGCTTGCGTGTCCTCCCCTTGAACTTGAGGCCATTGTATCATGTGGGATGTGAATAGACTGTCGTCTCGTTGGCATTTCCATATGTAAGTCGAAAACATTGGCAGATGAATGTCTGCCCCTTGAAGTAGAAGAGATGTTGCCATATGGATTATTGGTGAAGCCACGTGGGTTGAGATCATAAGCAGTTGCAGATGAATGCCTTCCTATTGAACTTGATGGCATGGTATATGGCGTTGGATCCGCCATTAATGATGTGAAATCATTACAGATAAGTTGTGTCGGGCTATCAACTTGATCAGTTTGATATGCAATGCCAAAGTGAGAGGAATATGAGAGACCACGAGTTACACGAACCTCAGTAAAAGTGGCATACATTTCAATAAGAGATTGTGAACTCCCCATATGAGCATCAACCATCATAGAAACATCATCATCGTTTGAAAGCTGAAATGATGTATACGTGAGCGGAAAAAGTTCAGTAGGAAATCTGTATTGAAGTGAAGATAGTCTTCTCTGGCCTGCTACACGAATCTTTAACGAAATTTTTGTGATTAACTCCTCAATTGTGATGTTTCTCTTCAAGGTTAAGGGGATATAATGATCTGACTCAAAAACAACCCCGTCTATCTATGTTATGCACGTCGTCTAAATTTCTAGGAGCTCCAGGAATATATTGCGTACAACCATACTGACGGAGCACGCGATCAACTGGATGCCACTCAATAATAGCATAACATATAAGAGGTATAACCGATATCCATACCTCTAATGACCCACTAAGGTGGGGTGGGATGCAAGCTTTCACTTCATCGCTCGCATAAGGTATCCACTGAAACTGAAATATAAATATACAATTCAAATAAATAAAATATTCTAATTATATCTGGAGATATGATCAATATCCAATCGCAACAGCATTTCGTTTTCCATTATAACTGTAGACAAAACAATATAATTAGCAAAAAAAATTAATAATTCTAAATAAATAATAATTATATAAATATTATTTTAATAAAAAAATAATATTTACATAAATATATTAATATAAAAAATAATAACTATTTAAAAAAATACTAACATAAAAATAAATTTTTTACCACTAATAACAAATTTAAAACTCAAATAGTTGGAGAATTTGAGTTATATAAGAGAGGAGAAGATGATTTTGGTGTGAAGAATGAGTGAGGGTTGAGGGGGTTTATATAGGGGAGGAGGAGGGGTAGTTAGGAAAAACGGATGGGGGCATTTATGACATTTAATGGAAGGCGCGTCCCCGGGGATGCGCCTTCCACACGTGTCTGCTGATATGGCAAAGGCGCGTCCCCGGGGACGCGCCTTTCACACGTGGCATCCAACTCAGCGAAAACACGGGTAAAGCGCGCCCCCGAGGACGCGCCTTTGCCAACTCAGCAGAAAGGGTGCTAGTTTTGGAAATATTGGTCGAACGGTGTTAGAAAAATAAAATTAAAAACAAACGGTGTCAGTTATGTAATTTAGCCTGGAACGAGGTGTTGTCACGTGAGGACGTCATAATTCCGGTCGGCAAAACTAAAACTTAATTATCAAGCGAAGAAGGTCCCACTTTATCGACGTGGCTAGATCCATGACCGTCAATCACATTATACTCTTCAATTCTGCTAGTACAGGTGGCATCCGAGCTGGACTTATGAATTACCACGACCGAGGGTCAAGCGACACGTGAGGAATTAATGTTGACCAATGGAATGGGAGTGTGTGATAGGTCACCGCGGGCATATTCATCGGGCAGGAGTTACTCCCGCCATGTGACCCTCTCTCCTTTGTTTTCCCATCTAGATATAAAAGGTAAGGTAAAATACACAAAAGACCCATTGATTATAGTATGTTATTTTACTCTTTTAACTATTAAAAATTATAAATTGGTTCTTTAATTATATGACGTTACTTCGTGGAGTCTTTTAACTATTAAAAGTTACAAAATGATCATCTGACTATACAATTATATGATGTTAACATGTTAAATGATATATGATAGTCGTATGAGATTATATTTTAACATATCTTAATTCAGTGGCTGATATAGGCTTTGCCCAGGGTGAGCATGTGCCCACCCTGAAATTCAAATTTCTTTATGTTAGTTGTTCATTTTACTAAGTGTGTCCACCTAAAAATTTTATTTGTATCTATATGAAAATTTTATGTTATTTATATAAATATACCCATCCTAAAAAATATTTCTAGATCTGTCACTGCCTCAACTATCAAGTTAACGTCTAATTCAGATTGCGATCAATTTTTTAACGGAAAATAATGAGTTTAGAACATATGAATAATCAAGTAATTTAATAAAGCAACGCCCTATATTTTAAGGATCATTTTGTAATTTTTAATAGATAGTGGCTCAATAAAATAATACACTATGGTCAAGGGACCATTTGTGTACTTTACCGTAAAAATATTTATTTAATGAAAAATACATATATAAGGGAAGGTTAAGGCTTAAGAACAAGGCGTGCTTTGCGCTTCGAAACTCTCCAATTTTTTTTTTCTAGAGACATAAACAAGGGAGAAAAGAAGAGGAGTTTGGTGGGAGGTTGCTAATGGCGATTTAGTCTAAGGGATTCAAAGTGGGAAGAGTTTTGCGAGTATCTGGCATTTGGCCTTGTTTCATTCACCCAATACCCTTGTTGTTTCCCAGCTTTCTACACTTAAAAGGCTTGTTTTTGCTGTCAAATTTCCATATTTTTTTAGCATCTTCAACAAACAACAATCAAAGAAGAAAGAAATCCAGAACAAGAAGAGAAAAAATGGAGTGGCATGCTTGTCTTGATGAATATGAAAAGCTTGTTGTAAGGATGAGTACACCCAGGTTTGTTTAGTCCCACTAAATTATAATTTTTAAAGCAATTTTTTGGGGTTTTTAATAGATTACCCAGAGTCTTTGGAAATCTTATTTGAATTTTCAACGATCCGTTCCATACTATTTTCTTCCAGAAATTTGAAGTTTCAACCAGAAACTGTATTTACCCGACCTTAACATTAATTTTGTTGATTTTTCAGGGTTGTGATTGACAATGCTGTTTGCCCCACTGCAACTCTTGTCAAGGTTCGCTTCTACAAACATCTCAAATATGAACACACCGCCCATATCGTATTGTTTTTCTTTTTATATTGCCTAAAATTTTGACTTGCCGGTCTCATGTTTTCTTTTGAATTTTCAAAGCCCCGATTCATTCCAGCTCCTCGTTGCTTTGATTTTCAGGTTGATAGTGCTAGAAGACATGGAATTCTGTTGGATGCTGTTCAGGTTTTAACAGATCTGAATCTCTCAATTAAGAAGGCTTACATTTCATCTGATGGCCAATGGTTCATGGATGGTAAGCTTAATTTACTTAAAAAAAGAGAAGATTTGCTACATAAAAGTTTGCTCTTCACATTTTAATTGCATTTTTCCTTCTGTTTTTTTGTTGTTGCAGTTTTTCATGTGACTGATTTAAACGGAAATAAATTAACTGATGAGAGCGTTATTAGCTACATTGAACAGGTAGTTTTTCTTTTTCCTCTTCATTTCAATGCATTCTTTACTATCTTAATTAATTTGCAGTAAAACTGATGATTGTTTTGTTTTTCTTTGGATTACAGTCCCTTGAGAACACTCATCCTGATACAAGTCATGGATTTAATGGTTTAAAAGCCTTGGAACTGACTGGAACCGACAGAATCGGTCTTTTATCAGAAGTATTTGCAGTTTTAGCTGACCTGCAATGCGCTGTGGTGGATGCAAAAGTATGGACTCACAATGGTCGCATTGCATCTTTGATTTTCGTAAAAGACTGCAATTCAGGGTCCCCAATTGAGGACTCGCAACAAATCGACAAAATAGAAGCACGTTTAAGGAATGTCTTGAAGGGAAACAACGATATCCGTAGTGCAAGAACCTCGATTTCTATGGCTGTAACACACACTGAGAGAAGGTTACATCAAATGATGTTTGATGATCGAGACTACGAAAGAAAACCTATTTTACAGCATAAGTCAGATTTGCCTGTGGTCACTGTGCAGAATTGGGTGGAGAGGGCTTATTCAGTTGTGAATGTTCAGTGCAAGGACCGAACCAAGCTTTTGTTTGATGTTGTTTGCACTTTGACAGACATGCAATATGTTGTGTTTCATGCTACTATCAAGACATCCGGAGACAAAGCGTATATGGTACTTAAATGTTTCATCATTAATAAATCTTGTTTTAAGATTTTGGTTACATGATTTCAGTTCGTTAACTTGAACTTGTTTATCCTTCTTAAAGGAATTTTACGTTAGACACATAGATGGAACCCCGATTAGTTCGGAACCTGAAAGACATCGGTTAATACAATGTTTACAAGCTGCAGTTGAAAGGAGAGCATCCGAGGTATATTTCTATCCGAAAACATTTTGAATATTCACTTTAGGTGCTCATCAAGTATTCCAGACATTGATGCAGTATAGCTTCGTGATTTCAGGGAGTAAGACTGGAGTTACACACATCCGATAAACAGGGTCTATTAGCAGATGTGACTCGAACGTTTAGAGAAAACGGTCTCAATTTGACGAGAGCCGAAATATCAACCACGAGTGACATGGCTCTAAACGTTTTTTATGTAACGGATGCAGCCGGGAACATAGCAGACCCCAAAATCATCGAATCGGTAAGAAAAAAGATTGGTTTAGCAAACTTAAAGGTAAAGGAGCTGCCTTTGATTTATTATGAAAAGGCTGAAAGCGAAGCGCAAGCAGTAGGGGTTGGTGGGGCAGTTTTGTTATCACTTGGGAGCCTAGTGAGAAGGAATCTATACAACTTGGGGTTGATTAAATCCTATCTTGAGTGGAAACTGCAGGAGAGATTTGATTCATTGGTTGGCAAATGGCATGTTCTTTGATTAAAGGTTTGGGATATGGCCTTTGTGTACATATGAAAAAAAAAGCTGGAACTTGGTGATTGTTGTTGTTGTTATAGTTAGTTTGGGGTGGTTGGATAGATAGAATCATATAGACAAGATTGGAACACAACTCCACCTATTTTTTATACTTTGTTTGGGGCTAGTATTTGAATGAGAAGTGGGAACACATTGGTGTTGTGGGGTTTGTGATTTTATGCCATAGATTTGTTGCTGGTTGAAGAGAGAAAAACAAGATTAGGTAGAAGAAAAAAAATTGGTTTATTATTATCACACAACATTTGTACATAACCACTTTTAAGTATTAATTATAATGTTCGACTTTTATTTAGTCTATGTCTACTATTTTCGCTGGATGTTGTTTGTTGATTAAGATTTAAAAGCAGTTCTTTATCAACGTCTAATATGATGATGTGTTAGTATTAGATTTAGGTTTGAAATCTCACATTAGTGAATATAACAAATTGAGTTAAAGAAGGTTATTCCCATAATAGAATCTCTGTAAAATTCAATTTGAATTAAAATTTAATTTGAATTAATTGATTAATAGAACAATAATTATCAATAATTAATTTAAAAAAAAATACCTTGCCCTAATATGTAATACATTAAAGATGCTTCTTTTGATCTTCTCTTACCGGCACATCTATCTATAAGTATATAATGTAATCAACTTGGAATCAATCAAAAGGGGAAAGCAGTAAGAGAAGTGACGGATTTTAAGAGGGGTGGGGATATAAATTTACTGTTTCTTTTGTGATTCAACCCCCTTCATATTTGTATCTTGCTTTTATGTAAAAAGTAATTACGAAACTTGTCAGGTGTTGATCAAATTTTCGTTCGAAAATAAATTAGATTTTATTATAATATTAATAATTAAAAATTATTTGACGATTAAATTTATTTAATTAAATTTTTTTATTACATACAAATTTTCAGTTACCATGTATTTGTTCTATAAATAGAGATTGTATGTCATTTTTTAGAATTATGATAATTATTTTAAAGAGATTCAATCATTTTAAATATTTGTAATTTTTGAAGTCTACGTTGTCGAGATAGTTTTGTAAAAATATTGTGAGTGTTTTGGCATACATTAAGTTTTGGTACATATATCGAGTTTTTGATACATGAATATCACATTTGATCTTTATGTAATGAATTATTGTTTTCTCATTCGTGAAGGTAGATAAAATTAAACTGCGTTATATTTTGTTTCTTACACATTTTATTTTACGTTGATATTTGTTTAATTAGTTTTTTGCTTATAAATTTCTAACAATGGTAAATTAAATATCTCTTCTAACTAAATTTAGTAGCATTTCATTTAGCATAGGAGGTAGGGGTATTAAGTATTTAACCTAATCAGCCCATCATCCCTAAATCCATCCAACTACTTGAATCAAATCAAGTGGCCAAAAATCCAAATTGAACTTATTTTAGTTGACAGTGGCCAGTCATTCAAAAGGACAGAGAAGGTTAGGTGTTTAGAAAAATCTGGTAGCCCAAACTTTTTAGATGGTATTATAAAGTCTTCAACATTTAATAACTTTGCATATACCAGCTGTTGTTGTGGTAAGAGTTATTCCATGAGCTCTTCGTTATAAATGAATGTGAAACATTTCAAATCTGAACCGACCTGCGTCGTATCCCTGGTTTTGATAGGTGAGTCTCGCAGTAGGGATTTTCTGCATATATAAGTACTCGAACTTGAGATCTATTTAAGTGATGTCAAACTGTTTACCACTTGAACCAATCCCATTAACAAAGCTTATGTATTTGATAAATTAAGCACCTCTATAAAATAAAACTAAATGACTAGAAAACCAATGTTAGAAGACCTTTGTTTATCGTTATTGTTGTCCTAATACTGAAACTTTTGCTTTGTCTGTATTGCCATTAGGGTAAGTTGTCTTTCCTATTCCCCTTGACATGCAGAACAGCCAACGATTTAGAAGATTATTAGAGGTCCCATAACAGATTTAGAATATAATGTATCTGATAATTTAACTGCAACAATTGGTCCAAAAGTTATGGCTACTTACACTAGGTATGCTCTTCTACACTATGTGCTTTAATATATTAATTAATTGAATCAAATTGGCATCAAAGTAGTCAAAAAGAAGGCAAAAACACAAAAGATAGTCGGCCGCTTGTCTTTACCGTGTTTTTGTCTGCCTTTCCCGACACTCGGCCTATCCCCTGATATCTAAAAGTTACTGGAAAATTGTATGTCTGGCTTCACTTTAACACGTCAGTAAAACAGGGGGAAATGGCTCATGTAGGACAGTGGGATAAAAATTTCCTCACATAAACCTCCCACCGCATTATTTTCTGAACTAAAGTCATTACAACATTATCAAAGAAAAGATATCGGAAACACTGCGTGACTTTAATATTTTGGAAAAAGAAGCAAGAACCACAATACATCTTTCTTATCACCAATTATTTTTTTGTTCTATAAAGTTGAAGACACATGACAATCTATACGTCTTCCACCCGAAAAATGAAGTCGCGTGGTGTTCCAAGCGTCTTCTCCTTGATACTGTAGTAATGACCCTAAGTCAGGAAATAATGTCGGTGTCTTATATGGACAAATCTTTTTTCCAGTTACTCTGTCTGGGAGAGGAAGCCAGGAAAACAATGTCAATATCTTAGAGATTTGTAGTTTGTAGTTTTGGAATGCTACATCTTTGACCAACACGATAGTACTGTGATATGTTATGTTAGTATTGTAACAATTAATGAATGAATTTTTGTTTTGGAATTTTAAGGTCACATTGTGTGCAAAAATAATTCGATGATCATATTAATTTTTTAAAAAAAAGTTTGTTAGTCTTATATACCATTAAGCTTGCACTTATAGGTTGGTGTCAACAATGAATCGTGATCTCTAGGCTTGTAAACGAACCGAACGCACACGAACAGAGGTATGTTCGTGTTCGTTCATTTAATAAATAAACGAACATAAACGAACACGAACATAAACGAACAATTTTTTTTTGTTCATGTTCGTTCATTAAGGAATATAACTTGTTCATGTTTGTTCATTTAATAAATAAACGAACACGAACATAAATGAACACGAACATAAACGTTGGAGACCCTACCTTCCATTGTTCTTTCATGAAAAATAGTCGACAATGCAAATCAACCAAATTTACAGTGATAAATAGCGTAAGAGCTGATTAGCAGTGATGAAATGTTTGAAGATATCAGATATTTCGATTGATCTTTTAAAGATATTAAATGATTCACACGACTTTAATTTAACGCTATAACATTTATCTTAGTGGTCCATGATTACATATGAACAATCATTTTCCACTACGTTATTCTAATAAATTCGCCGGCTAAAATTTTTGTGATATCAATGTCAGACTTTACTGAGATTTGTTAATAATGATCATTTCCATTGGCAGAGTAGAAAATTTAACAGCATGAAGATTTCGAACGATACAAATTGGACTACAAGGTAATAACATAGATCTGAAATCCCTCCGATGCTACATATCTAACTGATATTATTTCTAAACCACCATTCAAAATTTTAACGTACCTAAAGTATACTCCACAACTAAAGGTCACACAAGAACTATGAAAACAAAAGTTCATTGTCAAAGTGTATTTTCTACTTATTAATGGGTTCTTCCTGAAAAACTCATTACTTCCGCTATTACACTATTTTTCAAAAAATTACATAGAAACCTTTATTTTGTTTTTTTGGCAAATTCTATATATTTTTCTCTTTACTGATGCTCATATACTTCCGATTGTTACCTTTATCTTCCCATCTATTTCTAGAAAGAAGTATGATGTTTTTTTGAGTTTTAGATGTGAAGATATCCACAATAACTTACATATCAACTATTAAGCCAAATAAAACAGAGAATGAGATGAAAACAGACCTGTAAAACTTCAGATTGTACTATAATATAACTTATTTTTGAAGCTTTCACCGGTCGTCTCCACTCTCCAGTAACACTAGGGTTTGGGGAAAAGGGGAAAAATAAATATAGGTGCGAGGTGCCTCATGGGGTTAACATATTGGATTTAATCTCCAAATAAAATTGGGTTAATTATGGAGTTGGTCATCAGAATATCAAATTAATTAATATTTTTAAGATACTTACAAAATGGTCACCAAAATTAATTTAAGAAGATTGAGTTAAATATAAATGAACGAACATAAACGAACATAACCAAACGTTCACGAACGTAAATGAACGAACGAGACCTATGTTCATGTTCGTTCATTTAATTAAACGAATACAAAATCTTGTTCATGTTCGTTCATTTAATAAATAAACGCACATAAACAAACTTCCCGCCGTACAGTTTATGAACGGTTCACTGAACGTTCGGTTCATTTAGAGGCATAGTACTCTCATATAGTTTGGTGGTTGCGCAATTTCAAAACAAGATGGAAAACGTTCGGAGAATGAAGTATGTGGGTATCAATTGTCCCTCCCCTTTTTCCCAATTAAGAAAATTTGAAGAAATAAATGGGAAACAACTAAGACAACTTACATAGCACATGGAAATTTGGGGGTTGTTTAAAACAGTTGACCGCGTGAGCTTTGGGGTTATAAATAGAATACCTCACATGGCGGCAAGTGCGCAGGTTAAGTTGGGTTGACGCAGACACTAAACACTGTTGGAGTCGCATGCTTCAAGGCATGCATTGTATAAACGGCTCTGCTTTTCATAGACTTTATTTATTTATTTTTTTCTATATGTGGTGCGGCTTGGCTTTTTTCTAAAATGAAGATCTTAGTTTTGATTGGCTTCGGGTCCTTAACAAAATATCTTAAGATACTGTTTACATTTATTCAGTTATCAACGAGTACATACCTCTTTTAAAATCTAAATTTTCTACTGTTAATTGCTTATTTTATTGTATTTAACTTTTTTCAATATATGGTACGGCTTGGCTTGTTTGTAGTTGGTAATTTGATAAAATGAAGATCTTAGTTTTGATTAGCTTAGGGCCCTAACAAAATATCTTAAAGGGTTAACTATATGATTCATCAATTTCATTTATATTTTATCTACTTTTGCTCACTATTTTAAAATTTAAGTTTTGGTCATTGGTTATCATTTTATTAAGATTTAATAAGTAAGATGTTAGCTGTCGTTAGTTTGACTATGTGACACATTAGTAAAAAGGTTTACTTTTTATTATAACCTTTGAACTTTAGATAAAATAATAATCATTGGTATTTTTGTAAATTCAAAATAGTTTAGGGATAAAAAATTAATTTATCCATTTTTTTAATTTGTTCTTCCTAAACCCTGTCTTCCACTTGCATCGCACACCTCCATTGCTG